TGTGTCCTCATAAAAAGGGGAAATTCGGACACAGTGGAACACGTAGAGAAAAGACAATGTAAGGAGAGAAAGGAAAACTTGTGATCTACAAGCCTAGGAAAAAGGCCTGGAACAAGTCCTTCCCTTGCAGCCTCAGAAGGAAGCCCCCTGCTGACATCTTGATTTTGGGACAGTCCCCAGTACTGTGATGTAACACATTTCTGTCATTTAAGCCCCCAGCAGTGGCCCTTGGTTACAGCAGCCCTAGCAAACTAATCTAGGCACCTGTTGTGTGCCCAATACCAACCTGGGTGCCGAGAACATGGCAGTGAACAAAACTGACAGCATCTGCCTTCTTGGGACTCACATCCCAGCACGAGAAAAAACAAAATAGATACAATAAACGTCAAGTCATGATCTGTGTGATGAGCAAATATAAAGCAACTCAAGGAGGCAGAGTGACCGTGTGTGTTAGTTAGACCACAGAGAGGGGGAGGCGATGGAGGAAAGTTCCTCCGAGCAGGTACTGGCTGAGACCTGAACAATGCAAGGGAGCAAGGCGTGTGGATATCTGGGGAAGTGGGTTCCTGGCAATGGAAATAGCAAGTGCAAGGGCCTGAGTCAGGGCATGTTTGACGCGGTCGAGGAAGAGCAAGAAGGCTGCTTTGTGTGGAGCATGCGAGAGAAGGAGCAGGGTGGACACAGGTCAGAGAGGAAGGCCAGGCCCTGTGACGGCTTGGGGACGTATTCTAAGTGGGATGGCAGCACTCACAGGTTTTGAGCAGGGGATTATCTGATCAGTCTTTTTAAGGGCTGCTGTGTGAGGAAGATGTTAATGAGGCAGGAGGGGGCAGGAGACAGGTTACCTAGCAAGAGGCTCTTGTGATAATCCCTGGGAAAGGTCATGGTGGCAGCAGGGGAGAGGAAAGCGGGAGATTTTTATGGTTAGAATCTGCATAATTTGCTGGTAGATGGGATATGAGATTTAAGAGAAAAAAGTCAAGGTCAAGGACAACCTTATGGTTTTGGCCTGAGAAAACTGAATGAATCGTGATGCCATTTACTGAGATGGTGTTAGCATAGGGTGACCAGATTTTAACATTGGTAAAGTGGGACACCATCGGTGGTGGGGCAGGAGTGGGGCTGGTGGCGGGATGGGGGTAGGGCGGAGGAGGAGTGTGTTCTTTTTGGTTGCACCCGTCATTGTTGTTTGGCGGGTCCGGGCTGGGGATTCGAACCCACCACCTTAGGTGTACGTGGCTGGCGCCTTAGCCGGTTGAGCTATAGGCGCCGAGCCGAGGAGTGTGTTCTTGATTAAAAATTTATATGGAGCAAGAGAAATGTTCATAGAACACAAAAATAGTATTGTAATATATTTTTAAATTTCAACATAAGTACAATTTACAAATATAATACATTAAAAAAATTATGTATAGGGTGGCACCTGTGGCTCAAAGGAGTAGGACGGGGGTATGCCTGGGTGACCTTGCCCAGGAGGGGAATAGGGAGTTTACATTAGCCTTTTCATTTCCAAATGAAGTTACATTAACCTCTTCATTCCAAATGGAGTTACATTAACCTTTTCAGCAGCTGAAAATTGTATATTCCCCTTCCCGTTTTCCTGCCCTTCCCTAGATTGTAGTGCATTCTTTCCAAAAATCGGGACTTTTTAAAAACGCTGTGGGATGCAGGACAAATTGTTCAAAATCGGTACTGTCCCACCAAAAGTGGGACTTCTGGTCACCTTATGTTAGTGGAGAAAGAACTTTGGGAAAGAAAATCCCCATTGAGCTCTGTTTGGGATGTGTCTATTCTGATGTGACCATTGCACATCCGGAGGATTGTAGGACAAAGGTCTGGGCTAGAGATGTAAATTGATGAGTCTTTAGGATGTAAATGGTATTTGAAGCCAAGGACCTCACCCCTGGAGGGGGAATGCAGAGCAGAAAGAGGTTTGAAGCCTGAGCCTGGAGGCTCCCCGCAACAAAGGTGTTGAAGAAGGGAGACCCAGCCAGGGAGCCTGGGAATGATGGCCCAGAGAGGAGTAAGTCAAGGGCAACAGCATTTCAAGGAGCAGGGAGGTATATGCTCTGTTAATGGTGGCTCGTGGATTAAGTATAAGGAGGGCTGAGAGCTCCATCAGTGACCCTGAATGACATGGTTTTGACGGTTTTGACGTGAGATGATCATGGGCGTGGGTTTCAGAGAGAATGGATGGTGGGCAAGGGGAGACAAGTCTTCCCATCACACTTCTGAGAAGTCTTTTCTATAAGGCGAAGTGAAGCAGTAGCCAGAAGAGATGCGCTCTGTGGAGAGCTTTTGTTTGTTTTGTTTTTAAGCTGGGAGATAATTTCAATGTCATATCTTTCAGATGTTATGCCCAAGGGGGAAAATGATGATAGAGGACACAGGATTCTTGCAGAGGCAGGTGAGGGGGTGGGATCCATGAGCAAGTGAAGGGCTGGACCCGGTGGCGGCATCCTGGTCTTTCCCTTTCCAGGTGTTTTGTCCACAGGAGGAAAGAAACATCTACAGGAACAAATCTAGGAAACTGGAGGGAAAGGCCTGATATTCTCAGGGAAGCAGGACCAAGGGCTTGAGCCGAGGATGAGGAGAGAGGAGGGCATGCTGGAGACTGAGGGAGCAGGTGAATGGATGGAGCAGCAGCAAGAGACAGGCTCCCTGCTGGGCTGAAGGCGCCCTTGAGGTTTGAGACCCTAAATTTAGAGTGAGACTAGTTGGCGTGTGGTTGTTTTTTTTTCTTCACCCATGTATGGCTACTCAGGTGCAAGCTAAAGAGTGCTTAGAGTGGGTTAGAGTTAACCAGTGGTACAAACTAAACTGTGTCCTCTCCAAGTTTGTATGTTGAAGCCCTAACCTTCCATGAGCTGGTGACAGGAGATAGAGCCTTCCAGGATGCAGTCATGAGGGTAGGGCCTTAATCCCAGGAGTCTGGGGTCCTTATGAGAAGAGGAAGAAACACAAGAGCGCTCCCTTTCCGTGCACACCCAGAGGGACCTATGAGGACACAGCCAGAGGGTGGCCAGCTGTACACCAAGGAGAGACCCCACTAGAAGCCAAGCCTGCTGCACCTCCAAACTGTGCGAAAATAAACCTCTGTTGTAGGCCTGTATTTGAATCCTGGATATACTGCTGATTATTGATTTTTGAATGCATTAGTCATTTAAATACATTTATGGAACCAAAAAACCCAACCTCTGTTGTTTAGGCCATCCAATCTTTGGTATTTTGTTTGTTTGTTTGTTTTTAATATTTAAAACCTCTGCAATTATTAGTTTATTAGTATAATTCAGGACTCAGATGTTCAGTATTCCTCCTGAAATTACATAAACAAATGCAAATGGAAAGAATCCAAGTCAAAATTATATAACAAACAGCACTCCATCCCCAAAGCATGTAAAATTACAAGAACGCTATTTTAAAATACTGGCGTTTAAGAGAACGATAATCTCAAAAACCACAAAATTGCCAAATTGTTCCCTAAACTGCCAAGCAGATAAACATGACTCTAATGAATGAGTGTGGGTTTTGTAAGGAAAAACTAAATTCAAATGAACTGAATGACTTGTATTAAGATGCGAAGTTTAAGCGTCTCCTTTCCTATCAATTTGATTTAGAAAGGGGCAAACCCCAGTACGTGAAAATATAACCGATTTTAAATGTGGCATTATTTTAAAGGGTGGCCCAATTAATTAAA